GGGGAGCAGGTTCTTTCTGTTGTCTTCTGTGACTTCAAAAGGACCTCTACGAGGAATGGGGTCCATCGGGAAGCTGTTCTTTTGCTGTGTGTTCCTGGGAAACAGACAAGAAGCCGGACTTTGTCTGTCTAGCCTCCTCCTGTGAGTGTTTAGCTGGGTTTACGTGCATCTGCTGGCTGTTTGGTGCCGTGAGGTTGGGGTTCCCTCCCCCCCATAAAGGGTGTCAGGATTCCCAAACTCTTTTCTTTACCTGCTTGAAAAGAACCCAGGTCCCTTAAATTCAATCCAAAGCGATTCTCTCACCCAAATGCCCCTTATTTCTTTCTTCCAAAACAAAGAAATGGCCATTTCTCTTAGAACTCTCAAGTATTTCGACTTAAATAAATATATATAACTAGTTAAATTAAGTAATTAAATTCAAATGAGATGAAATGGGAAATGATACGAGAGGGGCATTTGCACGGAGGCCAAAGCACATTGGCAAGGACAGAAGGTGGCTTTATCTGTGACTTCTGTTGGCGTGCCAAGCCTCTTTCTAGCTGATTCAGACTCTCTCAGCCAAAAAAAACCCCAACCCTCTAGCTTTCTGGCCAATTCCATTCTCCTCTGTAGCTTTTGTTTCTAAGATCAGGTCTGGCCCCAGGCAATAGGGTAAAATAGGTAAAATCTGTGTCTGGCTTCCCTCCGGTTATAACAGCAGAACTGGTGATTCAGGAGTCAGCAGGTGGAGGGGGAGCGTTGAAGCCGTAGGTGACGATACTGAGGAGGGAAAGTGAAGGGCAGAGCCTCCGAGGAGCCTTGCTCGCTCCACAAACCTTCATCGCCTGTCCCCTAAGCCCCGTGAGTAGACTCTGAGGCCCCAAAGGCACACCTTGGCCAGTCAAGAGAGCACGTCGCGCAAAAGGCCGGTGGGGTCAACGTGAGCAGTTGATGTCTGAGGGAAGGACATCGAATTTGGTGACCAAGCACATAGCTGAGGAAGCAGTGTCAGTAAATCGGAGGGGGTGGTGGAAGGTAAATCACAGGTGTTTTACAAGGACGAAGTGGTGGTAAAAATCCAGAGATGGTAAAGGTGTATTTGCTCAAGAAGATTACAGGTCACAGAGAAAGATGTCGTATGGTTCAGAGGTTAGCAGGTGGGAGGGCCAGGTCCTGTCTCATTTCTGTCAGTAAACAGAATTACCTGAATCTGATTTTAAGTGAGTAAGACCAAGTCATGGTTTTCAAATGACAGCACGCATTCGAATCACCTGGAGGGCCACCCGAATCCCACCCGCAGTTTCCTTTTCCGTGTATCTGGGAGGGGGCCTGAGAACTGGCATTTCTAACAAGTTTCCTTGGCCATGAAAAAGAATGAAATCTTGCCATTTGCAATGACACGGTTGGAGCTAGAGACTATAATGCTAAGCAAAATAAGTCAGTGAGAAAGACAAATACCATACGATTTCACTCATATGTGGAATGTAAGAAACACAACAGATGAATATCAGGGAAAGAAGAGAAAAGGGAGGAAAACCCTAAGAGACTCTAATGATAGAAGACCAGCTGAGTGTGGCCGGGGCAGGGGTGGGAAGAGGAGCTAAATGGATGATGAGCATCAAGGAGGGCACTTGTTGGGATGAGCACTGGGTGTTCTATGGAAGTGATGAATCACTAAATTCTATTCCTGAAACCAATCTTACACTCTATATTAACTAGCTAGAATTTAAACAAAAACTTGAAACAAACCAGAAAAAGAGCATGAGTTCTGAAATCTGAAGACGAGGGTTCTCATCCCAGGCCTCAGTTTCTCCTTTGTTAGCATGGGAACAATTATATGGGAACTTTTAGTTGGCTGTGAGAATTAAATGAGATCATATATACGAGGTGCTTACACACAGAGTAAGCACTGAATAAATGGTAGCTGGCTGTGTATTATCTGCATTCCCTTTAAATTAATTAGGATGTGTTTTTGAACCAGTTTGAGTCACCATATGGGGCTCAAGGTAGCAAAACATTTCTTTGAAAACATCTTCTATCTCAGAACTCACCATTCTCCCCCCTCCTCACTGGTAAGGATATTGAGATATGACCCTATTTCACATAGAAAAAAAATGATTCTCAAAATTGGTATTTTCACTTCCTATCTGATGTACCATCCAAAAAGCTTTCCTTAGAAGCAGTTTTTTAGGTGTGCATTTTAAGGTCTGGCTCCAGACTGAAGCCTACTAAACTTACTACTGTTGTAGAAGAACAATTGTGGGGGCGCCTGGGGGCTTAGTCCATTAAGCATCCAACTCTTGGTTTCAGCTCAGGTCAGGATCTCACAGTTCATGAGTTCAAGCCCCTCATCTGGCATCTGGCTCTGTGCTGACAACACAAAACCTGCTTGGGATTCTCTCTCTCTCTCTCTCTCTCTCCCCCCCACACTTCCTGTCCCTCCCCTCCTCGCACTCTCTCTCTGTCTGTCTCAAAATAAATAAATAAACATTTTAAAAAAGAAGAACGATTGTGGAAGATAAAAGAAAGAAGTATAGAAATTCCTAGCACCAAAAAAAAGAAAAGAAAAAAGAAATTCCTAGTGTCTTTTTTCATGGGATTAATATAAAAACATTGCCTGCCTGCCTTTGCCTGAGCCCGTTGTGCAGGGCACTACTGACAGTTATTTTATTGATCCAGTACATGTAAGTGCTACACTCATATTTATCACTAGACATGATGGTGTCCTATATAAATTAATATGTATCCTAATAACTGCTTCACCTTTGTTCTTGCTCATGTGGAATTCTTTCATGTTTATATAGATCATATTCAAAAGTCAACCACTTATTTTTTTTTAATTTTTTAATCTTTTTTTTTTTGAGAGAGAGACAGAGAGAGACAGTGTGAGCAGGGGAGGGTCAGAGAGAGGGAGACACAGAATCTGAAGCAGGCTCCAGGCTCTGAGCTGGCTGTCAGCACAGAGCCGGACGCGGGGCTCAAACCCATGAACCGTGAGATCACGACCTGAGCCGAAGTCGGACGCTTAACCGACTGAGCCACCCAGGCGCCCCTCAACCACTTATTTTTTAAGCATCTCTAGTTCCTTTAGTTTAGGATGTGTTGCAGTGAGACATACAAAATAAAAAATTTTTAATAAAAAAAAAAACCAGAAGATTGAGTCCCAGCCTTTAAAGAACTTATGTTTTAATAGACATGCTCTGAAAGAAATAATTCAAGAATAATAGCAAGCACTCAAGTAAGTATTACACTGAGTACTGTGGTCCTGTGTTGCACCTCATGGTGGGGAGGGAGGCACAGAGTCTAGACTACATGCTTGCCCTTCAAATATATCCAGTCACGTGAGGGAGATAAGACATAAGAGCATGAAAATTCAAATTAAAAAAACAAGAGTTAAGCAGTGATTGGGGCACCTGGCTGGAGCATGCAACTGTTGGTCTCAAAATCACGAGTTCAAGCCCCGTATTGGGGATAGAGCTTACTTAAAATAAAAAAATAAATAAATAAAAATTAAAAAAAGAGGGGCACCTGGGTGGCTCAGTTGGTTAAATATCTGACTTTGACTCAGGTCATGATCTCATGGTTTGTGGGTTCGAGCCCTGTGTTGGGCTCTGTGCAGACAGCTCAGAGCCTGGAGCCTGTTTCTGTCTTTCCCACTCTCTGTCCTCCCGCCCGTGCTCTCTCTCTCTCTCTATCTCTCTCTCTCTGTCAAATATCAAAATAGATGTTAAAATAAATAAAGTTATTTAAAAAAGAGTTAAGCAGTGATATGTCACAAGGGAGCACAAGTTGAGTTTCAAGGTAGCAGAAAAATTCTAAGAAAAAATTGAGGCAGGTGCCTTAAGTCAATAATAGGTCACAAAGGACAAAACGCCAACCGGCCAGCCAGCCAGTGCCCCTTCCTCACCTTACCATCAAGTTAAAGCGTTTTACAACCCACTGAATGCTACTACTTTTCTGACCAAAGCATTGACAAATCGATCGGTCGTAGTGATCTAAGAGTTTATATTTCCACCAAAGAGTATACGTATAGTAAGCGGCAAATCGGTAATGGAAACGCTGTCTCTAAAAGTAAAAATTTAAAAAGTTTTTTTTCTTTCCAGAGGGCTGATATAGCTGTTGCTCCACTGACCATTACCCTGGTCCGGGAAGAAGTCATAGATTTCTCAAAGCCATTTATGAGCCTGGGCATCTCCATCATGATAAAGAAGCCTCAGAAATCGAAACCAGGCGTCTTCTCATTTCTGGATCCCTTGGCTTACGAAATTTGGATGTGCATTGTTTTTGCCTACATTGGGGTCAGTGTAGTTTTATTCCTGGTCAGCAGATTTAGCCCCTACGAGTGGCACACTGAGGAGTTTGAAGATGGAAGAGAAACACAAAGTAGTGAATCAACTAATGAATTTGGGATTTTTAATAGTCTCTGGTTTTCCTTGGGTGCCTTTATGCAGCAAGGCTGTGATATTTCTCCAAGGTTTGTTTCCATACCTCCTTGCATTCTGTGGCCATGATCCATTCATGTACATCTGGCATTCACCCATCTCAAGTCCAGGTTTCTTTCATTTAGCATTCCATCCGATGACAAATTACCATCAAGCCATTTTGTTTGCTTGCGTCCATGAACCGAGTGTGTTCTCGGTGTTGTTTTGAATGCCCTTCATGCATTTCTATGGTATTGTGTATTTATGCATATTATAGAAAGCATCTGGACTCTGGATAAAGGCAACATTGTCAGCTAATATTAATAATTCTCGGATAAAGCCAGTACTAAGTCTTGATCAGATCAAACAGGCATGATTTCCTCCTTAATTGAGCTAAAGCATTTTCTCATTTGTCTGGATCTAGAAAATTTGAAAGAATATAGAGCTCTTCTTAAAAACCCCCCTACTTTCTCCATACAGTGACCTTTTTCACTTTGCTCTTAGAGAGCCTACAACTATTCATTGAAGCATCTCGCCCAAGTTTTAGAATTCAAACTATAAAACTACTAAAAGAAAACATAAGAGGAAGTCTATGTGATCTTGGATTGGACATAGAATTTTCAAAACACAAAAAGAACAATCCGTTTTTTTAAAAAATCGATAAGCTGGACTTCATTAAAATTCAAAACTTTCGCATTTCTTTTTTTTTATTTTTAATGTTTTATTAATTTTTGAGAGAGAGATAGAGACAGTGTGAGCAGGGGAGGATCAGAGAGAGAGGGAGACACAGAATCCGAAGACAGGCTCCAGGCTCTGAGCTAGCTGTCAGCACAGAGGCCAACGCGGGGCTGGAACCCATGAACTGTGAGATCATGACCTGAGCCGAAGTCGGACGCTTGACCGACTGAGCCACCCAGGCACCCCAAAACTTTCGCATTTCAAAAGACATCAGGAGAAAATAAAATACAAGCCACAGACTGGGAGAAAATATTAGCAAATCATACATCTGATCAAGGACTTATATCCAAAATATATAAACATCTCTTACAACTCATTTATAAAGAAGACAACCCAATTTTTTTTTAATTTTTTTTAATGTTTTATTTACTTCTAGGAGAGAGAGAGAGAGAGAGACAGCATGAGCAGGGGAGGGTCAGAGAGAGAGGGAGTCACAGACTGAAACAGGCTCCAGGCTCTGAGCTGGCAGTCAGCACAGAGCCCGACGCGGGGCCCGAACCCACGAACCGCGAGATCATGACCTAAGCGAAAGTCGGACGCTTAACCGACTAAGCCACCCAGGCGCCCCAAGACAACTCAGTTTTTAAAAAAGACAAAAGATTTGAATACCATTTCCCCCAAAGAAGATATACAAATGGCTAATAATCACATATAAAGATGCTCGACATCATTAGGCATTAGGGAAACACAAATTAAAATCACAGTAAGATACCTCTACGTACCCTCTAGAATGACGATAATAAAAAACACAGTACCGTGTGGTAGCGAGGATGTAGAATGATTGTAGCTCTCATCCATTAGTAGTGTGAATGCAAGATGCTACAGCCAAATTCGAAGGTGGTTTGGCGGTTTCTTATAGTTAGATACACACTTAAAATATGACACAGTGATTTCACTTCATTATTCACTTAGGAGAAAAGGAAACCTATATCTTCACAAAGACTTATAAATGTTCACAGGAGCTTTATTTATAATAACCAAAGAGTGGGAACAACCCAAATGTCCTTTGGCAAGTGAATGCATAAACAAAATGAGGCATTTCCATCCAATGGAATACTATTCAGCAATTAAAAAGAACAGACTACTGATACACTACAACATAGGTGAACTTTGAAAACATTAGAAAGAAGCCAGACACAAAAGGCTACATATTCTATGATTGCATTTATTGAATTCTATTTATTGAAGCTCCCATATTGATTTACTCCCTTTGTCCAGGATAGGCAAATCCAGAGGGACAGAAATTATGTTACTGGTTTCTGGGGACTTAGAGCAGAGAGAAGCTAGTCAGTACTGGGATTAGGGTGAGGCAAGTACAGCTGGGTACAGCAAGTTCAAGGGTCAAATTCAGTCTTTATTGAAAATTGTGATATTTGTTCAGCATGGATTTGTTTGGATTAATTGAGATTTTTAAAATATTGCACTAAGGCGTTATTTATCATGACTAATGAGATTTTGGTACCCCTTTAAATTTTGTGCATGGGGTAAATGCTTCACCTGCCTCATCTTAGCACATGAAGGAATTCTTGGCAGGGGGTTGGGGGGGATGTTCCAAAACTGGTTGTGGCGATGGCTGTGTGACTCTTAAGTTTACTAAAACCATTCATTGTACACTTCCATTGGTGAATTTGATAATATGCAAATTTCATCTCAGTGAGGCTACTGAAAATATTGAAATGTGAACGTCCAGGACCTCCCCAACTTAGTTTAAGTATTAACTCACCTAAACAAAAACAGTGTTGAATTCATAACCATAGACTATCATAAGCAAATGCAACATCTTTAAAATCGGGGGTGGGGGGTTTTTGTCTGAAATAAAAAGTTGTCGTTTTGGTAAAATTGAACATAAATCCAAATACTGACCAGAGTCCATTATGCAAATGTATGGGGATTTTCATTTGGAATATAAGGACCCAGAAGGCCACCTACTATGGTTTTACAGCACACTCCATTTTGAGATTATCCACTTGGAGCATGAAACATTTCAACCGAAGACTCGCAGCGTGGTAACCATCTTCCATTTCCTAGTATAACGTGTCTGGGGCAAGCCTCACTTGTGTAAATCACACCTTTTGCCACTCTCAGTCTGCATGGTTAGATTCTCCCAAATTCTTTCCCTGCCTGTTCCTTTTGTGTTCACAGCGTATGTCATTTTGTGAGACCACCCGGGAGTTCATTTATGTTGCGAGTTTCTTTCCTCGTTTTTTTTTAATGTTCATTTGGAAACTCTGGTTTCTGAACGATCCCGTAATTGAGTGATGTTTAACATGGCTGGTAACCTGTGTTGAGGCAATGCTAAAGAGTCATTAAGGCTAGAGATTTTATTGGCTTCCGTAAGTGAATTTCCAGAACTAAATTTGTGATAGCCCCACTGGAGTGCTGCATCCTACTCTGTACACTTACACGGGACTCCTCAAAAGCTATTTGTTTTTGGAAGTATTTATGCATATGGCTTCATTAAGTAATAACTTAAAGATGATGACCTGAAAACGACAAGCTGGATAGGTTTTTTTGGTAGTAGAATTTAAGCTGTGGCTCTTCTGTGGCACTGAAATATATCAAATTCTTTTTTTTCTCCAATATACAGATGTCATTATACTGCACTAGATAGTGTCGTATAGAACAACCACTTTCAAACCCTGTGACCATATCCCTCAGTATGAAATACGTTTTCCCATCATGACTCAGTCCATATATATAACAGAAGTTTCACCAAACATTACCCTTGCAGTGGGCCATGAACTTGGATATATTGTTCCATTTTGGTTTGGTTTTTTTTTTTTTTTTTTTTGAGTTTTATTTATTTTGAGAGAGAGAGAGAGAGAGAGCGCGTGTGCAGGGGAGGAGCAGAGAGAGAGAATCCCAGGCAGGCTCCATGCTGTCAGCTCACAGCCCAATGAGGGGCTTAACAAACTTAACAAACTGTGAGATCATAAGCTGAGCCGAAACCAGGACTCTGATGCTTAACCGACTGAGCCACCCAGGTGCCCCTCCTTGGGTTTTATATGCCGGTTACCACTCAGCCCAGCAATGGGGCACACAGCCCTTGGAATGGCACTGGTCAGGAGTAACACATCGTATCTTTACTGTGCTTTTGAGTAATAAATTATTAGTCTGTACATTGTCTACCATATGGGTGATACCTCCTTCAATACTGTCTTTTGTGGCCTTCCAAGGAAATTATATCTTTAAGCCTCTTGATACAATTTTATGCTTTTTAGCATATTTATTCCTCCTTGTCTTGAGAACCCTAGTGGTTATATATTTGTGCTCAGCTGTATACCAGAAAACTGCACTGAAATGTGCTTTTCTATTAACAGCTTTCGAAATTCCTGATGATGACATAGTTGCACCCTAAGATTCATCGTTGCCTTGACCGCACGTGCCAGTGTTCCACTTTATTTCTGTTAGAAATAAATGCAGACCCTCCAGAAAGCCCCGAATGCGAACATACATTGTACACCCTGACTTGTCCCCAGATTGAAGGAATTCTAGGAGACCACATTTTAAAATACAACTATCAACTATTATAGCAGGAGGAGGTGGCAGATAAATTCAGCCAGCCGCTTGAGTTTGCTGAGGGCAGAGGGACAGTGGCCCTCCCTGACCCCACCCCACCCCCCCACTTCCCCGTAAGGGCACTTTCCCTGCGTTCTCATATGGATTTTTCAATCCTCAACGCGCTGCCACAAGGCGGGCCTTGTACTTATTTTGAAATTGGAGAAGGTGACCCTGGCGTTAAATCATTTGCCCAGTCACGCAGCTCCTGGCAGAGCCGGTATTCAAACCTGACTCCAGGTCCACAACCTGTGCTCTTTCCGCTTCAGGCTGCTTTGCTCACATCACAGACCAAAGAACCGGACGCAGAGAGATAATGTGACAGAGGCCAGGGTCCTAGGGGTTTGGAGAACCAGCAGTACAAACCGTTTCCAATAGCACACGCCGCCTCCCTCTGCCGACCTACAGGCGCGTTGCTCAGCCCATTCTTTACCCCGTGTTCGCACACAGGAGCGATTTTCCAGTCTCCCAGCCTCTGTCCAAACCTTGGCTCTACCCCACTCATTAAAGAACAGAGGCGGTGAGCACTGAAAATGCTGTCGAGCGCATGTTCACTCAAAGGAACAGAGCAGGGAATCAGCAATGAGACGCCAAGAGGAAACCCGAGCATCATTCTATTTCCATCAAATACAGGTACTGATGGCGGCCTAGAAGCTTAAAGAGCACACGTCAATATCAGGTTCGATAGTTTCAACTAGTCCCGTTGTTCGGAGTGAACAATTCAGCTGGGGGCTGAATCCCCTTCAGAGAGGGCGAT